AGTCCCCTTCTTCCACCCCTCCAAAACCCCACCCATTTTACAAGAACCCAAGCTAGAAATTGGTGGGGGGGACTAACTAGGTATCTGGGAAGCACATATTAAATTCTTAATGTTTCCAAATAACTTTTTTCTTTTTTTCTGCCCCAAGTCCACTCTTGATCTCCTTGCCCATGAAGACTTCATTGGGTTATTTATACCTGTCTCCAAAAACACTCTCTTCCATTCTCGGTACCAAAGAACAGCATTTTGCGACTCCCAATTGGCTTCCCTCCTCCTTATATGCAGGAAAGCCCTGATCTGTGCTGGAAAGAGCACTGGGGTTGGGAGTCAAGGAACCTAGGTTTGAGTCCTGTTTCTGCCACTTATTCAGGATGTGACCTTGGACCCATCACTTCCTTCTTTCCCGGTGGCAGTTCCCTCCCCTGAGGCATTAGACTGGACTCCAAAAAAACTGTTCCAACTCTGGCATTCTAGGCTTTGCTCCAACCACCTTTTCAGTTCTGCACATACATCAAGCTCTCTCCTGCCTCAGGACTTTTGGTCATGCTATTCCCTCTGCCAAAATGCTCTTCCCTTCCCTTTTTGTTTAGTTAACTCCTCCTTACCCTTCAGTTCTCAGCTCAAATGCTACTTCCTCAGAGAAACCTTTCCCAGTTCCTCATGGTATGCTCTCTTAACTCCCTGTAGTTTTTCTTCCGAGCCCACATCACATCTGTAATCTTCCACGTGTTTGTGTGATTATTATTTCAAGCCCATTTCCCCCATGAAACTTTAAACTCTCTGATAGCAAGGACCTGTCTCTTTTGCTCACCACTCTACTCCACCACTTGAATAACTTGCCTGTCCATCTTGTAAAGGCTCAGTACATACGTATTAGATAAATGAATAATGAAATGGATAAATGGATCCTTTTCTTCACCTATCAGCAGCTTTAAGTAGTGTGGGGGTGTTTAAGAGCAAAAAGTCGAAAGCCAGACTGCCTGGGTTTGGAATCCAGCTTTACCATCCACAAGCTGTGCAAACTTGTGTAAGTTATGCAATCTTTCTGTGCCTCAGTTTCTTCCTCTGTAAATGGAGGATAACAACAATATACTCTACCTAACAAGTTTAACATGAGAATTAAAAGACAGTACGGTCGTCCCTCGTATCTGCAGTTCTGCTACTGTGGATTCAACCAAGCCCGGCTAGAAAATATTCAGATAAAAAACAAAAAACAACAACACAATAAAAAATAATACAAATAAAAAATACAGTGTAACAACTATTTACATAGTATTTACATTGTATTAGGTATTATAAGTAATCTAGAGATGACTTAAAGCATACAGGAGGATGTGTATAGGTTCCATGCAGATACTACACCATTTTATATAAGGGACTTAAGCATCCCTTGCGATTTTGGTGTCCGCAGGGATCCTGGAACCAATCCCCGAGAGCACCAAGGGAGAACTGTATACATAAAGTGTGTAAAACAAGGCCTGGCACTTCCGTGCTGTATAAGTAATAGCTATTGTTCTTATTCTGCCTCATCCATCTCTCCATTTCTGCCCTCTGAACTCTCCCACAAAGCCTCATTTTGTTATTTCCAGTCTGTGAGTGGTGGTGACTCAGTGTAATTCGCAGATTAGGTTGAAAAGTTTTGTTTTTTTAAAATTTTGTTATGGAAATTTTCAAACGTACATAGAAGCAGAGAGGATAATGAACCTCTGTAACAAGCTTCAACAATCATCAACATTTTGGCAATCTTTGTTCATCTATACTCCTCTTTTTTTTTCCCCACTAGAGTATTTTAATTTAAGTCCCAGATGTCATATCATTTTGTCTGAAAATACTCCAATATGTATTTCTAACAGATGAGGACTACAAAAAAAACCCCACACCGATACCATTATCACACTTAAAAAATTAACACTAATTAGGGAGGGCTTTTAAAACCATTCCCTTGAGAGAAGCTGGGGGAGTGGGAGCCCTCACTTTGGGGCAGATGCATAATGAGGAACAGCCAAGAGAGTTAATATATGTAAAGTGCTTTGAACAGGGTTTGTCACGTAAGTGGGAAATAGTGGAAACTATTATTTTGATTCTTTCATTCTATTTACCCACTCTAAATACCCCCAACCCCTCTCTTATTTCCAGGCCGAGTGTGGGTGCCCATTTACGAAGGAGGACTAGGAGTCCAGGCTGGGGATTTTCCTGGGTCATTGGAGCCCTGGGGTGGGAGCTGAGACTCCAGAAGGCACCAAGAAGGACCCAAAGGAAGCAGCGACTGTAGGACTGAGGGGGAGAGAAGGAGCAGCCAGAGCTGGGGAGTTTAAAGAAGGGGGAGCCCTGCAGCTGTGTGAAAATGGGGCTGAGAAAATCCAGTAACCAAAGGGCAGGCAAGCGGAGGGCTGGTCCTTCCTTCTCAGTGACCAGGGCCTTTGGGGATCACTGACAGTTTGGGAAGCAGAGAGGCAGTAGCCCGTTTCCTGAGGGAGTTTCCTTTAGCTTTTTTTCACAGCCCACAGAGGGGCAGCTGCCTATGACAGCATCCAGAAGCCTGTTTTGCTTCATCTTGAGTTCTCAACAGTTCCAAGAACATGAATGATGATGGCAGACCCTGAGCCAAAGCCCAACTAGAAAGGGCCTTCCCAGACTTGAGATGAAGATTTTGTGCTCCCACCTTTCTTTTCCTTTGTATAGAATTCTCCCATATTTCTTCTCCCTTATTCTCTTCTCACCCTCCTCATCCATTGGGTACCCTGGGCACCTGGACATTCCATCCACCCTGTCTTAGTCTGTTTGTGCTGCTATAACAAAAAACCCCAAATTACCCCAGACTGGCTAATTTATAAACAATAGGAATTTATTTCTCACGGTTCTGGATGCTGAAAAGCCCAAGATGAAGGCACCAGCAGGATTAGTGTCTGGTGAAGTTTGGTTGCTCTCTGCTTCCAAGATGACACTTTGCTGTGCATCCTCTCAGGGGAGGAATGCTACGTCTTTACAAGGTGGAAGGGCGGAAGAGCAAAAAGGACCTAAATAGTTCCCTCCAGCCATTTCACAAGACACTGAAAATTAATCACCTCCCCAAACACACCCCCCCTACACACCTTTTTAAAGTGATTTCCTGGACATTAACATTCTGAAGGAACTTTCATCTCCAAGGGACTGGCCCCCACCCCACTGGGAATCGAACCCATGCCGCCTGGGTAAAAGTGCAGAATCTTAACAGCTAGACCACAGGCTAGAGTTTCCCTACCTCCTAATACCACCGCGTGGGAATTAAGTTTCAGCACAAGTATTAACCAAAAAAGAAATTGAGGCCAAATACATATAGCAAGGATTTACTGAACCAAAATGATGATTGCAACCAAGGAGACACATAGATCAGGGAACCCTAAAAAATGTGTTCCAAAGAGGGCCAGGAGAGCTTAATATTTTAATATTTTATCATCACAGGAAGGGGGAAGGGCCAAAGAAGAGAGAAAGACATCCCCGTCTAATTACTTCATTAGGTTTTCTATTGGTTGTACAGGATAGATAGATTTGGGGTTGTTACTAGGTTACAACCTACATGCAGGGATCTAGGGTCAGGGTAACAAGAAGTATTCTAGGTTATTTTATGGCTTTCTGTCACCATTATGGCTGCTTCTAGGTAAATCGGTCTTATGATAACGTTTTCCAGGCCAGGTGACTTATCCCAGATCTCCCAAGGCACCATAATTTAGCCGACCTGGTCAGAGCAGGTTCTTTTGGTTATCATGAGTTTGGGGAGACATTCAGACCATAGCACACCCCAGTCCAAACTTGCCTCTAGGAAAAGATGTCATTCAACACTTCAGCAGGGTAAACGAGCTCCTTCACAACCTGGCCTCCAACTACCTCATCAACCTCATTTCCCACCACTCCCCTTTTCTTTCCAGCAATAGGCAATGTGTCACAGTGAAAAAGCACGAATTTGTGTCCATATCAATCTGATACTGAATTCTGGCTTTGCCATTTCCTAGCTCGGGAACCTAAGGTGAAGTCATTTTATTTCCCTGAGCCTCAGTTTCCATGTCTGAAAAATGGGGATAATCATAGTACACAAACCACGAAAACAGCCCATCTTCTCTAAGATCCCTTTTAACACCTAACAGTCTATGAATTTTATAAAGAGTTTAAAGTCCTCTGGACATATGGTATATGACTGGGGCAATAGCTGACTTTTCAAATAATGAATGCTAAATTAGTGCTTGAGGAATCATAATGTCCATGTTCTCACCAGTACTTGAACAAGGACAATTTTTGTTGGCCCACAACCTCCTGTTTAACGTCGCCCAAGCAAGCCGCTTAAACTCAATCACCACATTTTCCTAAGCCCTGAGATCTACCTTTGAAAATGTGACTACATCTCAGTTGGACCTTCTGAAGAAATGATCACAGTGCTATTTCTTTCTCTCTCTTTTTTTTTCTGGCGGGTACTTATTTCTTAAATGAAAGCTTTGGCTTGGTTCCTGAAGACCCTTCCTCAATGAGTCACGGAGACTACGCCTCCCGGGGTGTTTGAATTCAAAGCATGCTCAGTGCTGGGCGCAGGCTAGCAAGAAAGGGAGGGTATCCGGGGGTTCTGGGGTCGCAGGCCCGGAGGTCTCCAGTGGCCACTACACTGACGAAGGTCAAACAGTATCCTGATACTCACAAGGATAGCACACATGCTCGCGTACACACACACGAGTTCTTCGCAGCATGGCTCGGATTGAAGTGAAAATGCGAGGGACCACAGCATCAGGCCATCCACTCGGCGCCACGCGAAGCGTGATCGCCGCCTAGCCTCGGCGCGCGTAGGTGCAGGCTTACGACCTTCGTGGGCGGGGCTCAGGCGGTGGCGCCGCAGCGCGGGGCCGTGGATTGGCTGGCCGTGAGGTCGAAGGTTGGCCCTACCCTCGCGTATGCGCACAGAGCATGCGCGGGGCGGGAGCAAGCGAAATTCAAACGTAAACCTCCCGCCGAGATAGTCCGAACCCTGCACGCGGGTCATGGAGGCTCCCCGAGGGGTCGCGGAAGCTGAGGCCTTGAGCCCAGAGCAGGTTGCCCGTTACGTGAGGTATGTCTGGGCCGCCAGGCGGGTCTAGCTCGCAGGCCCTGGCCCGGAGTGGGGGTTGGTGTTGGGTGGCTCTCGGACGGTCCCAGGGGCCCAAACTGCTAAGGAGGAGCGGTGTGAGTCGTGCAGCCGCGCTCTCAGTGTAGGCCGTGGCAATCAACTTTGGACGGTGACCGGATTTCTAAAGCCTAGGAGCCTCCGCTTTTTTGGTCAAATAATCCTCCGGTATGAGCTCCCTGAGAGCCGGAATTTGTAAACCCTATTTGAATCTTTCCAGCCTACAAATCCCCAGGCCTAAGGGGATAGGCATGTAAATATCTTTTTGAGATCGTGCTTTCATTTCTTCTGGATACACGTATTTGCAGAAGTGGAATTGCTGGATCGTGTGGTGATTCTATTTTTAATTTTTTGAGGAACCGCCATGCTGTTTCTGGAGTGGCTACAGCATTTTATATTTCTACCAACAGTGTACAAGGGTTCCAATTTCTCCACATCTTCGCCAACACTTGTTGTTTGTTTTTTAGATTCTAGCCATCTTAATGGGAATGAAATGGTATCTCATTGTAGTTTAGAGTTGCATTTCCCTAATGACCAGTGATTTTGAGGATCTTTTCATATGCTTATTGGCAATTTCGTATGCTTATTAGCCATTTCATATGCTTATTGGTCATTTCATATGCTTATTGACTCAATTGTATGTCTTTGTTGGAGAAAAGTCTATTCGAGTTCTTTGCTCATTTTTTAGTCGGTTTTTTTTGTTGTTGTTGAGTCCTTTATATATTCTCGATATTGATCCCTTACCAGATATATGAATTTACACATATTTTCTCCAGTTCTGTAGTTTGCCTTTTCACTGTGTTGATTATGTCTTTTAATGCACAGAGGTTTTTAATTTTGGTGTAGTACAAACGTAAATTGGGGCAGTGGAATCGTTCTGTCTCCCTTTTCAGAAAAAAAAAAAAAAGAATGTCTTTAAGGCTGTTAAAAGTCAAAAGGCCTCCTTACAGAGTAGTAAAAGCACATATTTGGATTAGTTACATGACTTCCTTAAGGAAGACTTGGGGAGAACAAAGGAAGGCAGTGTGGTGTGATAGAATACTGGCTTTAGAGTTGGGTCATTTTGGGTTCAAATTACGGCTTTACCGCTTACTAGCTGGGTGACTTCAAGCAAGTCACTTGACTATTCTGAGCCTCAAAATTTTCTCATGCGGGGAATGGGGCTACTGAGGCTTAGGACCTTTAGTCTATTCCCCCCTTTCACTGAGCAAGCAAGTGGACCTCTGTGCACTGATTTCCTGGCACTGTGCCTCTCACACTGCCAACTGTCTCTCACTCGCTCCCACTTCTCTCCTGGACATTCTCAAACAGTCTGTCTCCCACTCCCTGCAACAATCACCCCCTTCTCTCACAATCATTATCTTCCTTTCTCGCAGTTCCTACCTTTCTTCCTCTCACAGTTCCCCTGTCTCTCATGATCCCTCAACTCTTACAATCCCTGTTCTATTTCTCCTAATCTTCTTCACTTTCTCTTGTCCTCTTACAAGTGCCCTCACATCTTACCTCCTAGCACAAAGCATCCCCTTCTCTATTGCTCATATTTCTGCGCTTAGGCACAATCCCACTCTCACATAATCTGTCTCTTTCTCCCTCCCTCTCCCCTTTCTGTCCCTGTCCTTTCCTGACTGTCTCTGCTATGTAAGCACTGAAAGAAAACTGACACTTGTCACAGACTCTGCACACGTTTTCTTTTTGACCCACCTTCATCTTCTGTCACGTACAGCGACTCTGTGACACACTCTGTGCCAGTCTGCCTACCAGCCCCTCTCTTGCCCACACTCTCACTCTGATGCCCACTTGTGCTCTCTGTATCCTCAGCTTGCTCCTGCTCTCTGTTGCCCAACTCTCTTCTTTCTCTGGCATATATTCTCTCTCTGTTGCCCATGCTCCCTCTCTGGCACTCATTCTGTCTCTCATTCTCTCTTAGTCTCTCTCCCATTGTCTCTTTGTCATCCAGTACCCACTTCTCTCGACTGTCACCCACCTCTCTCTCTCTCTGTCACACACTTGTTCACATTCACCCACCCACTCACAGCATCGTTCATTTTCTCTGCTGTCCACTTGCTCTTCAGCCATCCCACCCTCTTTCCGTCTCTGTCATCCTTCCCATTGTGTCCCTCTGTCACCCCTTTCACCCATTCTCTTTCTGTTGCCCACCTTTGTCCTATCACCCACTCTCAGCCTGTCATCCACCCTCTTTTCCTGTCTCTGTAACATTCTGAGTATCCCCTGCTTTTTAATATAAGGAGATTTTAATATAAAGAAATATTAAACCGATAAATGAGATAAGGTATAAGGAAACCCCTATGTTACTCTAGGGCTAAGGGAGAGGACCCAAGGGAGGACAAACTTGGAAGGACACTTCCTCCCCAAGGCTGAAGTTTAGACCTTTGGGGAAGGTGTAGTCCAGCCTGCTGGGTAGCAGAGAAGTTTGCTGGTTTGCCTAGGCCGGAGCTGGTGTGCAGTCCCAGAGCCAGCAGGCAGCCACTCCCTGGAGTGCAGACAGAGAGCAGACCATCAGCAACTAGAGGTGTGGGATGCTGAAGGGGTGGGGGCCTGCAGAGGGAATCCGGGTGCCGGTGCAGGCAGGAAGACTTTGGGAGCTGGTTTCCAGGTAGAGAGGGCTGCGAAAATGTTATTGCTAGGTTAGGCAGAGAGGCTTCAGGGTCCTCGAGGGCCTGTGTCTTCTGGGTGTGTGGCTGGGGCCAAGCTCTACTAGATATGGTACAGCCGCTAGAAACTTCAGGAGATCCCCTTCCTTCTGTAGTGTCTCTCCAGCGCCCTCTACTGAGAAACCCTAACATGCTCACTGTAAAGGAATTCTGTCCATTATCAAAGAGCAGGTATTGAGGGGTGAATTTGGAACCGAGAGGCAATAAATAGTGACTGGCAGAGTCACTCTCCCTCTCTGTTGCCCAGCTTCTCTCTCTGCCACTCACTGTCTGTCCCACACCTGCTTCTACTCTCTGTTTTCCACTCTCTTGCTGTCACCCATCTACTCTCTTTCTCCATGTCACCCACCTTCTTTTTGTCTTCCTCTCACTGTGTCTCTCTTCCACCCACTCTCTTTTTGTGTCTTTCTGTTGTCTTCTCTCTCACTCTTCTGCCTGCTTGTTCTGTTGCCTACCCTTCCTTTGTCACCTAGTTCTCTCTGCTGCCCATCCTCCCTTTCTGTCGCCCTCTTTGTCACCCATCCTCTCTCCATCACCTGCTTTCTCTCTCTCTGTGTTTCCACTCTGTCCCTGTGTTGCTCACTCCATTGTTCTATCGTGTGCTCTCTCTCTTTGTTGCCTTCCTCCTCTCTTACCCTTTGTCGGCCCTCTCTTTCTTTTGCATGCATTCTCTCTCTGCCACCTGCCCTTTCTCTTTTGCCCACCCTCTCCCTCTGTCTTGTTTGGCCACCTTCTTTATGTCACTAATCTCTCTATGTCACCTACTGGCTCACTGTGTCAGTCACCCTCTCCCTCGCCATTCTCCAAGTCACACGTTTGCTCACTCTCCCTCTTTCTGTTGCTCACTAGCTTGTTCTCTCTGTGCCAGCACAGAGACACATACTCTGTTGTGGACCCTCCCTTGACCCTCTCTCACACACACAGAACTACACACAGTCTCCGTGTTACATACACTTCCTCTTACACCTTTCTCACAACACTGTCAAAACACTTTTTTTTTTTTGCAACCCATTCTTTGTTATATTTTCTCTGTCTTCGTAACACATAACACTGTCAATTTCTCTATCATACACTGTCTCCATCTTACACCCTTTCTGTTTTTCACATTCACTGTATCTTTAACATGTTTTTTTATACTCTCCATTCTTTCTCTGTTTCTCTTGCTTACCTGTTCTCTTGCTAGCTTCCTGGGTCTGTTGTTTACTCTCCCTTGCTATGTGGCTTTCTCCCCTTCTCTTTCAACAGCTTCATCGAGAATATAGTTCATATACCATACAATTCACCCATTTAAAGTGTATAGTTCAGTGGCTTTTAGTTTATTCACCGAGTTGTGTATCCATCACCGTAATCAATTTTAGAACACTTTTATTACCCCAAAAAGAAACCTCACATATCTTAGCCGTCACCCCCATTCCCTTACAACTCCCAGCCTAGGCAACCACTAATTACTTTCTATCTCTAAATTTGCCTTTTTGGACATTTCATATAAATGGAACCACATAATATATGGTTCTTTGTGACTAACTTCTTTCATTATGCTAACAACTACTGTTAACATAATGGTTTCAAGGTTCATCCACGTTGTAGTTTGTATCAGTGCTTCATTTCTTTTTCTCACTAAATAATATCCTGTTGTATGAACATATACCACGTTTTGTTTACCCATTCACCAGTTGAATAGACATTTGGATTGTTTCCACTTTCTGGCTATATGAGTAATGCTGTTATGAACATTCGTGTACAAGTTTTTGTGGACATGTGTTTATGTCTGTCTCGGGTACACATCTAGGAATGGAATTGCTGGGTCATATGGTAACTCTATGTTTAATATTTTGAGGAACTGCCAGACTGTTTTCTAAAGCAGCCACACCATTTTGCATTCCTCCCAGCAGTGTATGAAGGTTCCAGTTTCTCCACATCATTGCCAGCACTTGTTTTTGTGCCTTTTCAGTTATATGAAATGGTATCTCATTGTGGTTTTAATTTGCATTTCTTTGATGGCTAATGACGTTGAGCATCTTTTTATGTGCTTATTGGCCATTTGTGTATCTTCTTTGGAGAAATGTCTGTTAAGATCTTTTGCCTATTTTTTAAATTGTATTGTCTTTTTATTGTTGAGTTTTAAGGGTTCTTTATATATTCTTTTAGGTTATTCCAATTTTTTTCTATTATTCTCAGGCCAGCATTTGATGAGCTATATAAGTCAATTCAAAAGTTAGTATATATAGTTTTACTTTTTGAAGCTAAGAATTCTAGTATTTTCTTTTACAAATA